CAGGCTGCCTTCTGCTTCCCCCTGGCTCCAGGCTGGTTTCTTCCCAGCTGGTCATGCACATAAGGACCTCTCTTGCGAGGCTGCAGGCTTTCTCCCAGGAACAAGGTGCTGGAATGTTCCCCATCAAGCCCAGGGTGACAGTTTTATGTCAGTTAGGGTATATTCCTTAGCCGGTTGTGATCTCAAATGTAAGCGATGACAAGTAGAGAGACAACATTGGTAGACCAGAAAGAGCCCTGGACTAATTAAATTTGGAGCCTGGGCCCTAGAGAGTTAGTAGACTATACCAGTTAAAAGTATGGGTGTTAGCCAGGTATGGTGTGCATGCCTATAATTCCAGCACTCTGGGAGGCTGAGGCAACAGGACTGCAAGTTTTACCTGAGCCTGAGCAACTTCGGGATTTAGAGACCTGTCTCAAAATTTAAGACATGCATCATTGGTTGCTTCTTCAGTCCCTTCAGCCCTTGCCTACTTTCTCCTGCAAAAGCTCAAGTGCTGATGCACACATTTCCCTGTTCCCACTGCAGCTCCCTGCAGGGCCACCATTGCATTTCTGGCCAATGATATGCAAGCTAAGTCTCCTGGGGAGCTTCTAGGAAAGTCTGGAGAGAAACCCTCCAAGTGGGACCCCTGTCCCAGCCTCCTCTTCCTTCCCACTTCACACCCGGGGAAGGTGAGGAAGCAATGCTCAGTGTCCCTTCAGTCATCTGTGGTGCTAAGTAGGGGCACTGCCAACATACTGAGACTAGCAAAGAAAGAGATGCAAGGGGCCTGTGTCTTTGATGGTAGCCCTGAGTGGTTGACTTCTTGTACTGAGGTATCCTTGAACCTATTGGTTGGAAGTCTATTGCTTGCCACTGAGAATGTCATCACCAGATAACTTGGCTGTCTTCTTTTTCCACTTACCCTCTGGCCTCTCTATCCCTGCCCAAGAATTCCCTTCTGTCAACTCTTGTAGTGATTCATAGAACTCTGAGTTGACAATTAAACACAGAGGGATAAAAGGGCCCCAGCTCCTGGGGCAGGGAAGCCACAGCATTCTGTCTGATTAATTATGCGAGGTCCCCTTATTGCTGCCCCCATCCAAGGCCCATACAAGAATATTTCTTTCATCAAAATCTGGGTTCTGAGAAGTGGCCTTGGAAGTCAGCCTCATAAACATAGTGACTACCTGCTGTGTATATTCTATATAAGAAGGAATAAATAAGGTGCAGTTCTCACCTGTGAGAAGCTTACCTCCTACCGTGTGGTCAACCACAACAGCAGACAAAATGTGAAGGTGGAGCTGCCTGAGGACCCAGTCTGTGCACTCTTACCACTCACAATGGCATAAGGAGCTTGTGCCAAGATAGAAACCAGCTCATCACTATGTACATTGTTGAGTTCAGTTTGCTTGTTTGTTTATGGTAACAAAGCTTTCTCATGAAGAAAGCAGTGGGCTGATCTACACTGGGAACAAGTTCCTTATCTTCTGAAGCAGGCCTGAGGGATACCTTTGAAACCGGACTGTGGTTCAAGGAATGTTAAAGAGATTAAGGCCTTTGTGGAAGGAAAAGCCATGAAGATGTATTTTGATGAAAAGTAAGAGCTGAATGAAAAGGAATGGGCAGAGAGAAGCAGGAACGGGCAGGTGAACTGGCCGAACAAGTCTGGTTCCAGTTAGCCTTGGGATGGACACAGGGACAAGCTGGAGGTGAGCCCTGAGGACAAGCCAGAGCCAGAAGACAGAGGTGTGGCATAGCAGACAGAAGTCTGAACCTCTTTTGGCCTGAAATGGGGAATCATTAGAGTTCTTTGAACAAAGAAGAATAAGCTATAAGACAACTGATCAGGTAGGGGAAACGAAAGCTTGTCCGTGAAGTGGAGAGAAGGAGAGAGAAAGACATGAGCACAGCTCTGGACCTTAAAAAGTAATTGGAGGTGAGGTTAAGTAAGAGGTCAGAACAAAAAAAGACAGTGCCAGATTTCAGGGCCGGAGGTGGCAAGGTCTGGGGGAGATGCTTTCATGGGGGATTTTCTGCTGAGGTCTGGTGTGTAAATCAGGAAGTTGTGCCCAGTACGCAATGGGTGTGGGAGTGCGGGGCCAAACCAGAGATCGGGGACTTAAGCTCACACAGCTGACAGCCAACGCCAGAAAACCCCGGTGAGGTGACAGCACTCAGGTGAAATAGAGAAAGAGAAGAGTCCAGGACACGGAGAACAGGCTGCCTTCCAGTGGTGGGCAGCAGACAAAGGAGGACGGAGCCAGAGAAAACAGACTAAGGGTATCTCTAGCCAGGACCTGAGCAAAACAGTCCTGCTACAGATTCTGCGCACAGTTCAAGGAAGCGTGGCCCATGCTGCTGAATGCTGTGAAGAGTCTGGTGAAGATGATGTAAGGAATGGCATGAGGCACAGACCAGCCGAGACCAGCAGGCTTGTGTAAAGGCAACATGGTGTGGAATTTATTGTGTCTGGGTGCAGGCAGGCAAAGGGCGAAAAGGCTGTCTGCAAGGAGATTGGGAAGTGGGCAGTTTTTACAGGGTTTGAAAGAAGGCAGGGGACATTAGTGGTAAGATCTTAGCAAACATCAGTGGTCAAAGTTCTCTGGATGTCTCCCGCCTCAGGAGCAAGGCAGAGCCCTTGAGGCTTCCAGTGTAAAAGTTTGGGTGTCTTCAGATGTCTGGGTGTTTGGAAGACCCCCTGCTCCATCTTCTCTCTTTTACGACATCCTATGTTTGCCCAGGGCACCTGTGCTGAGCTGAGAACAATGCCTCTGCGGCCCACAGGTTGGGTATCAGGACAGTCAGGTCTGAATCGAGGTACAGATGAGGCACTAGTGACTGGGAGCTGAGCTTCCCGAGGACAGGCTTAGGGACACGGTGAAGGCACAGACGGCAGGATTAAGGCAGGAAGGGTTGGTTTGGTGAGTGATGAGGCAACAGACCCAAATCTCAGCCTGAGGAAGTCTGCTGGTAAAAGCAGGAAGAGGTAAGCACGAGGTAAAGCAGGCTTTTGTCACGAGGCTGGTGAAAGCCCCAGGGAAGAGGTAGCGGGGTGGGAATGATGGGAGAGCAAGATGGATGCTGCTGGGAATCAGCAAACAGCACTTGAAATCCAGCACTCTAGACTTCAAACTGGAAGCAGCTCGGAGGCAGCAAATGCAGGTAGGGCTTTCTCTGAACTCTTATCTACCAGCAGACCAGATTCACCAAAGAGGAGTGCAACAGCCTTCAATTTTCTTAATGAAATTTCATTAACCAAGGGAGATTAAACTCATCACAGAGGAAGAGACTGAAAATCGAACAGCACACCTAGGGCCCAGAGGGACTTTGTTCCAGACCAGTGCTTGTTCTCCCAGCTCGTTCTCTCCCTAGAACTTCCTCTAAGATTACCTCTGCCCTCCTGCTTCCTCTCCCCAGGAAGAGGTTATCTAAGCCTCGGACACCTAGCCCTTGAGTTTCATATTTTGTGCAGTTCTTGTGCACAAGTATATGTTAATACATCTATATCCCTTCCCCTCCTGTCAATCTACTGTCCATGTATTTTCAGAAAACTCAGCTAACAAATCTTTCAAGGAAAACTTCGAGTTTTCCTTACAGTCCCCAACATGGGAGGGCCTACAGGTTTGGAAGACTGTGTAAGAAAGACCTGTGGCCTGGGAGGTAGGAGCAAAGGAAGAAAGATCAACAAAGATAAGAGATTCAAGGTGCAGAGAAGAGCCATGAGAAGGACTCAGACATTCTCAGTAAAGTTAGTCATTACCAAAGTTGAGGGGAGTCAGGCTGAGGTACATTTTCCAAGCTGGATCACTGATTTACCCAATGTCAAACGTCTGGAAGATGTTATCCCTAGGACCAGAACTTCTTGTACCTGGGAAATTTAGTGATCTTTCCTCCCCATTAGAAATTCTAAACTTTGTTATTCTAATAGGAGGTGATAGTCCCTCTCCTTAAGTATGCTAGAATAAGCTGGATATTTGGACAGGTAGTCTAAAGTAGTCTATTTAAAGCTTGTCCAGTGAGAGTCACACACAACAGAAGTATTCAGAATTTAATTTTTAAAGGTCAAAAATACTAAGAAGTCTCAAAAAATTAGAAAAATATTTTAAATAAAGATTACTTCTTTTTCCAAGTGAAAAAATACAGAGAACTCTTTAATATAAAAATCTGTTTCTTTCTTTAAATCCTTGATTAAACTTTTAATGACATTCGCACGATCAATTTGGGGCAAAATACAAAAGGCAAAGCTCCTTCATCCGGAAGTCAATGCCTTTTCCATAGTCTACTGTTTCCCATAGCTGTGTCCTTCTCCTGGTACACATGTGACAGGGCCTGGGAGACTTTTCTGAGAGAAAGCAGGGCTTGGTGTCATGGCCTGAGCTTGCATTTAGCCAATCACAGTCCCTGCAGTCACAGTCCCTCAAGCAGCTCAGGTGACCATTGAAAATAGCACAGTATGGCCCCAATGGACTCTGCTTCACTCCTTTTGATGTATATTTAACACAACTTGTAGGTAAACAGGAAATTATACTCTCTTTTTGCTTTTGTTTGACTCCAGGGTTTCCTCAACCTTGGGACTATTTTGGTCTCTCAGGCATTTTGATCTGGACACTTCTTTGTTGCCAAATGGCATGTTTTCTGGATGCTTAACAGCATCACTTGTTTCTGCCCACTACATGCTAGTAGTATAACCCTTTCCCCCTAAAGTTGTCACCACCACTAATGTCATCAGCCATTGCCAATGTCTGGTGGGGCAGGAGGAATTTCCTCAGTTGAGAACCACTGCTTTAATCCAGTGAGGCCAACTACAGGTTTCACCGTGACGGGAACCCCAAACCCAGGGCTGTGTTCAGGTTGCTCTTGTGCAGTAAAGACTTTCCACAGTGTGGTCACCATGTATTGGTAGAATGCAGTAGGAGACACTCTTGGCTCTACTCCCGACAACTCACCAGAACGGCATAATGGCGGAAACACTGCACTGTCCATTGTCACAGAGCACTTGCGTGAGTGAGACTCACCGATTTTTCTCAGTGACAGCAGGAAAGGTGCCTGAGTTCTCAGCCTGGACATTGTTGGCTTCAGCTTCTGGAGAGCTTCTCTGGTCAGTAGAGGCTTTCGGCACTGGGAAAAGACAAATGAGTACTTAAGAATCAAAGGTTCAAAAGTTGATAGGGTTGGGTTCTTTGCACTCTGCAGTTCCTCTCTCTCGGCCCCAATGCTGCTCCCTGATCATCTGCAGCCTTCTTCTAAGCTATGTCATTAAAACTCATCTGTTCTGGCACTCCAGGTCTTCACCTGTGCTAGGTCTCAGTCAGAAAATTAACTAAAATAGCTCATGCTTATAGGAACACAAGAGCAGCTTGCAGTAGGCAGAAGAGTGTTATGCTAGATCATTAGACTAGGTTTTACTATGTGGTCAGGGCCGAGAATTCCAGTAGTCACTACCAGTCCAATGGGGTAGGAAAGAGACCCACGCCTATTCGCTATCCTTAGATTAGCTAATACAGAAGCAGCTAAGCCAAAATACAACCAGCAAAGATGATCCATAAACTTGGTGATTTGATATTATGGAAGATATGTAAAATGTTAGAACTTTAGGTTATAATGATAGAACATAAAACATGACAGGTATGGAATAAAGAAAAATAAACATAGAAATCAATTGCTTTTGTGTTGTCTGTTTTGGAAAAAGTATGGTCTGATTCTAGAATGCTAGTTTGGAACTTAAATGTAAATATCTCTGTGAAGGAGAAATGTAATTCTTTATGCTATTACTGGTGGATAAAACCATCTGCTATTATTGCTATAACTGCCAAAAGGATACAGAGAAAAATTTAAACAGAACATTATTCAATTTTTATTATTACATAAAAGACATTAGAGCCCTGAGGCACGGTGGCACACACCTGTGATCTCAACTACTGGGGAGGCTGGAGCAGGAGGATCACAAGTTTAAGACCAGCCTAGGCTACCAAGTGAGATCCTGTCTCAAAATAAGGTAAGAAGAGCCAGTAGAGTGCTTGCCTAGCATGTACAGGCCCTAGGTTCAACCCTCAGTACCAAAAAAAAAAAAAGCTTTATATCCAAATAGTGAAAACAAAACTGAAAAAAAAAACAAAAAGCAGAAGTCAAAACTTAGGGCTAGAATATCACAAGCTGATTCCCTCACATTCCTGCCTCTCTTGATTGATTAACTCCTTGAGCTGGAGCACCAGGCAGGTTGTCCCTGTCTTAAAGACGAATTGACCCAAGCCAACTTGTCATACTGTGATAAGCAAAATAAAAGCAATAATTGACAAAAACAGAGAAAAGAAGAGCCCCTCTAAGGACACAAGTATATTTCTGCCTTCCTGAAAATGAAAATTGCCATGACTAATTTTTAACCTTGTCCTCTGGCCCAATTCATCAGAACTTAAATGGTCTTGCCTGAGTGGAGGGCTGGGATTGCAGGCTTTTGTCTACAATGATTTTGAGATCCTCACGGGGAGAAAAAGGAAAAACAGCAATTAAACAGCACTCAAAAAGGATGAAAATTAGAGGAAAGCTGGAGAAGACCACTGAGCCCATTTTGGTTTGGGCCTCTCCTTATGAAGCTGTACCCCCAAAACCAAGGGAGAGGGAGCAGCAAGATTTTGCTGGGAGCTTAGCAATTGCCCTCAGTTACTTTGCCTGGGTTTCCAATAGAATACATCAAATTTCTGTTCATGTAATTGAAGGGAGAATTTACTCCATGTTTCTTATTCATTTACACTTCAGTCATCAAAATATTGATTTTAAGAGTTATTTGAAGTATAAAAACCAAACAGAAAACTTACAGAATATTCTTAATAAAGCTTAGCGGAAGTCTGTGCCTCCATCCCCTAGCTTTGCCTGAAGAGCAGAGAAAGGGATTTGGGTCAGACTAAAGAGATAAATTTAAATAAGTTAAGATTATCAACCCAGTGAGTTCAAAGCAGGATCCAAAATTGCCAAGCACTTTTAAGTGTGCCCTGGTGACAGCTGGAATCACTTTGGCATCTCTCTGGAGAGGTCATCCCTGAAAAAGGGCACTGGAAATTTGGAGAGACAGATTTTTTAAAAAGCAAGAAATAAAGTTACTCATTTAGGTGACTGGGTTGCATTGAAGGATTTAGACCAGTGGCATGGCCAAGAAATAAAATGATGAACTTGAATAGCAGACATGCTGAAAAAATGCTAAACTTAGGTGGGTGTGCAAGGGTGGCAACAGAGGCTTTTCCTGTATCAGGGCACCCAGAAGGTCCCTAAGTGTCTCTGGTTTAACAAAGTAAGTAATGTTAGGAGTGGAGTTCGCTGGAACAGCCAAGTCCTTCCAAAATCAGATTGAGTATAAGCCATTCATAGTTTCCAGAAAAAATGAACTGGGTCTTCAATAGACCATTCTGAAATAAGATGGAAATGCATTTGACTGTCAGGGGAAACAAGAAAAAAGCAGATGTTTCATAGTCTTTTGGGAGCACCCACAAAACAGGGATCAGGCAGAGGACAAGGAGTGGTGAGGTCTGCATGAACTGCAGAATGCGCTGCCCACTTAAAGACAAACACAAGGCATCACTAGCCCCAGAGAACTCCAAGCAGCTACCGGAGAACAGCCTCGAACAGGTGCTCCCGCCGAGGCTCCAGGAGAAGCCAACCTTGCTGACACCTTGATTTTGGATTCTACCCTCCACAACTGTTGACAGAATAAATTTCAGCTCTTCTAAGTTGCAGAGTTCGTGGCAATTTGTCACAGCTCCTCTGGGAAACTGACCCAGAGGCTGGGAGTGACAAGACAGGTGCTAAGCACTGAAATCACCGGGAGAAAGAAAAGAAGATCAGGTACACACGTTCGGCTTGATTTGACTGTAGCGGCAAGGGAGCGGGGAGGAAGAAGAGATAAGGAAAATTCCATTACTGTTTATTAAACAGAAGTGCATGGATTACTGTTCCACGCACTGTTCTAAGTCCTTCACAAAAATTAACTCATGCCTGCATGAGCTGACACATGCTTGCCTGTAGTCCCACCTTTTCAGCAGGCTGAGTCAGGCAAATTTGATGGCAGCCTTGCAAATTTAAAAAATAAAATAAATATTTTTGAATAAAATTTTAAAAGGGAGTGGGAGATAGCTCAGCTTTTCTGGGTTTAAGCCCCAGTAAGGGGAGAAAAATGTTATTGAATCCTCAAAGTAACTCTGAAAGGTAGAGATCACTCTTATTCATTCTCACTTTATCAGCGAGGAAATTGAGGCAAAGGGAGATTAAGCAACTTGGCCAGAGTCGCACAGCTGAAGAATGGCAAAGCCAGGGTCTGAATCCAAGCAGTTTTGTCCTGAAGTCTGAATCCTAAATATGACAGGGTGCAGCCCCATTTCCTTAAACATCTAAGCATTATAATCCCTACTCTTTCTCTTCTGCACCCCCCTTATATATGGAAGCAAAAATTTAGATGTTCCCACATTTTTTCAGGGTCTAGGCTCCCTAGGAACCCACAGACCAGAGGTTGCAGGCTGTGTTTCTGGCCTGGCCTGGTGTTTGGTGACTCACTCAGAGGACAGACCCAAGCACGGTTCTTGGCAGGGTCTTGGTAGGTTTCCCAGTTGGTGATCTAGGCTGGGTAAACTCACCTGCCCTCCTACTGGACCTGGCAGAGGGTGCCCAGCATACCTGGCAGGGAAGGCTCACACAGATGAGACACAGGCCCAGCCTGCCTTTCCTGGCCACTGCTGGCCACTTTCCCAAGGAGCCAGAGTGGGTTCTGTCTGGAATGACAGCTGGTCAGCAGCCATCCTATCAGAACTGAAGAGGCCAATGTGTGGGAGGTCTGACGGGCAAATGCCACCAAGAGCAGCACGGAGAAAGTAGACTTCTTTCCTTAGAGAATAGAATCTCGTAGACATATTTTTTGTTTTCCCTGTACCACGTCAAAACTCCTGGCCTCCATCTCAAACACACAAAACCAGTGCAGTGACTTCAGGTGTAGGAGAGCATTTTCTACCTTGATTCTCCAGTACTTAATTCCAGTCATTATCCCAGTTAAACTTTGACAGAGTTCAAAGAAAGTCTTGCCTGGCAAATACTTTCTCCAACTTGGAAGCGAAGAGGAGAAGTTATACTTTACCCTAGAAGTCAGTGCCTTGCCTATTCAGGAACATGATTGTCTCGGGGAAGTTCCGTTCCCTCTGAATGTCTAGGGACTGTCACTCCACTTGTTTTACTCTTATCCAATCTCTGGTTGAATTTAATTTTTATAATTTATCCCCTGCCTGCTTCCAAAGGAGATTGGAGACAGCTTCACAGAGCGTGTACCTCCTGTAGCTGGGTCTTTGGCCCACTCAGTGCCCAGCTGTAGCAGGGGGCAGGGTGGCAGGTAGTTCCATGGGAGACTGAACCCATATGATGGAACAACAGTATTTTTGTGATCACCCCCCAAAGCATCTAGCAGAATGTTCTGCACAGACAAAATGTGGAGAAAATGTCTGGCCGGGGGAAGAACAGCAGATCAGGAGCTGGGAAGTCTGGGTTATAGGAAATGTCTAAGTTTCCATCTGTGAAATGAGGTAGGAATTCTAGCCTATCTGTTAGGGTTAGAAAATAAGGTAAAATAAAGTGTTTCATATAAACTGTAAATTGCTATGCAGAAGTGTAAGATGTTAGGAAAACGAAACATTTGTGAGCAATCAAAAAACAACTCCCAACCTCTAGGATCCTGCGTGTGTGTGTGTGGGGGGGGTGCTGGGGGTTGAACCCACAGCCTCACACGCTAGGCAAACACCCTGCCACTGGGCTGCATCTCCAGCTTTCTAGGCTCATTCTTGCCCAGATAGTTGCAGTTTTCTATGCAGGAAGGTTATTTACTTTCCATAAATTTTTCTTTAAAAGACAAAGCTCTGAATGTTTGTTGCAGCTCTATTCATAACCACCAAGAAATGGAAATAAGCCAAATGTCCTTCAGCTGGTACACAGATAAAAATGTGATACAGCCACACCCTGGACTTCGAGTCTGTATTGAAAAGCAAATAGCTACTGATAAGCACAGCAGTGCAGATGGAGCCCAAAAGCTTTATGCTGAGAGACAGAAGCCACTCTCAGAAGTCTGAATACTGTGTGACTCCATTTATCGAACA